TGGGTCTGTGTAGGGCAATGGAGCAGTGAAGTTGAAATCCCGTGGGCTGCAGTTTGCTGCCTTCACTGTGCTCCTGCCACCACCGCTGCCTAGTCAGGGAGCTGCAGGTTCTCACTGGCTGACCAGGAGATGTTTGTCCCTCTAGGCCACCACAAACAGGTAAAGTTCGAATTCTGCAGAAGGAGCAAACCAAAAATGGTCGTCACTGCAAACGTATTTTGTGTTCTGCTCAGTGAAAAGACTGACTCTTTGATACATGACAGTGAATAGGATTGCTGTAGTTTTACTGCCAGACTTGTCTGTCCTCTACTTCTCGCACAAAAAGCCTTTCTTCCGCAGCCCACCCGCTCCAGGTTTCCAGCCAGGCCCTGGTTATTGCTTTTGTGCACACATACATGCCCCGTCCACATACGTATTCCCACTCCGTATGCTTCCCGTGACTGGAGTTGGCTTGTTCTCTTTTGTGGTCTTGGTTTTGTTTTCCCCAAGGCTTTCCATATTGCGCTTTTGAAGGTAACTTTGAAAATGTCATTGGTCAAAATGAAAAGAAAATTTAATCTGACCTTTTTTTCCATTTGACATTTCCGTAGGCTTGGCACCTTTTGTTTCTCAGCTCCCTGACCAGTAAATAAGGTCAATCAAAACCAGTGGGGTTTTGATTGACCGCTGGGCAGCAAGCACAAAAAGTTCCCTTCCTTGTAAGAGGTAACTTGGCAGTTTTCCAACCAGCATTTCAGTGAAAACTGGAGACCAGAGGATATACATTGTAACTTTCAACATCTGTGTGTGTTTAGCCTGTGTAAACCCCACCTTCTCTTAATGTGGAGATGATATGGACATCCTTTCAACAGCCAACCATCTTCTTTTTCACCTTGGGCATCTGATGCAGCCCATTGCAATGCTAATGTAAATTTTACTTTCAACTTCAAGAGGCTTGTACTGGGGCTTTCAGCTCTGCCCTTTCTCCACACTTTTTACTCACCTTGGAGCACTAAAATAGGTCTCAGCTTTTTTTTCTTAGTTTGTGCTTCTTCATCTTTCCCATGTGTCCTTCCTTCATGACTCTGCATCCAAGGTGGGTGCATGAGTTGAACTGTCCTTTGACCCTTTCCCATCTTCAGCTCAGTCTGTGTTGGCTGATCCCCAGGCTCACTGGTACTCCCCAGCTCTCAGCTTTTGCCAGGTGGGCAGCGTGTGCACCCTTCTCACTGGGGTCATACCGGTGACACCCAGAAAGTGTCTCATAGTTATCTGTATTGCTATGAGTGGATGCTCCTTTTACCAGCTCTCTGACCTACATTCTCACACCTTCTGCAAGAAGAACAGATGAACAACTTTCTTAAAGTATTCTGGGGCATTTTCCTTTCCCAGCATCACAGTAAAGAGGATTTATTGTGAGGAAAAATACACACTGATTAAGAGGAGCATCCACAGAGGTGGTCAGGAACATAACCGTTCATCACTGAACATGACTAGGGCAGGAGCATCACCATCACTGGGTGGTGGAGCTGCTCTTCTTCCGCCCTGGCTGCTCAGAAACCTTCTGTCACCTGCTGCAATCATGAGCTGGATGGTTTCTTCAGCACCTGCTCCATAAGCCTTTGCAGGATCCCAGTGTGGCACTGTGTCAGCTGCCCCGGCCCTGACAGGGCAGGGAGAAGGTTCCTCCATAGAGTCACAGCTCATCCCAGCAGCTCTACACTCATTCTTTGCCACTGCTGCCAAAGCAGCTCCCACTTCACCTCACACTTCCCTGCATTAATTTTGCCCAGCTTTTTCTTTTTTTCTGGGGGTACAGCAGTGGCCAGGTGTGCATTGTGGGAGAGGGCTCTGGCAGAGGCTAGTGGTATTCACCAGTTAGCATTCCAATTCTGCTGCCCCAAGGAGGGAGGGTGGGAAGCAAGAGCAGCCAGATCCGCTCAGGGTATTATTTTTCGTGGGAGAAAAACCAGCAGCAGTCCCTCGACTTGGATTGCATGGACACAGTGCCATCTTGTGGGGCTGAGCAGTGGCTCCAGTGTGCTGCTGCCACCACGGCGAGCAACTTCGCGTGGGAAAAGGCTTTCCTGTGGGGTGGCTCTGACAAAGACGTTTGGCAGACAGAACAGACTCTTAAAAGTTGTTGTAACATTTTATGTCAGGTAAGCACATCTGCTTTAAAAGAAGAAAAAAAAAAAAAAGGCTGCAGGCTTCTTATCCTCCAGTTATTGCTATTTTTTAAAATGCTTATTGTTTTAGTTGTTCACCCTTGGCTCTGTACCCGAGCAGTCTTGCTGCTCTCCACGCCATCTCTTCATTACATGTTGATTGCTAGCGCTATAAATAGTATATATATTATATAAATATATATAAAATATCTACTGACTTCGAGGAAAACCTTTAATTTCCGAGTAAGAACCATTTATCGGAGGCAGTCCTTTTCATCTGATTTTTTTCTTCAGTTCTTCTTGTGTTGTGTTCTTGTAAAGGTGACTGTCAGTGTATAGGGTAACTTTGGGGTTCGGTTGGTTTTTTTTCCAAAATTTCTGATGGCATTTGGATCCGCTGTATCTCGCTAAACAGTGTAAGACCTAAATGCTGTTTTACTGAATCTTGAAAATTTTGCAGCAGTGAGGGTCTCCCAATATTTGCTTCCATGGGAGACCGAGACTTTTTTCCATCTCGCTGGCAGAAATGCAGACACTCATGAGAGACATGTTGGAGTCTGCAATACCCACAGAGCAAAACATGTCTTTTCCTTGGGTTTCTTCCTATTTCTGTTGCTTACATATAGAATAAATGTATTTACATGCTGTAAGCCCGTCATTGTGGACAGTGTCCTAATGTCTTGTATTGCTACCTACAATAGTTTCTTTTTTGTTCTCCTTTTCTTCTTCTGGGGATGGGGGTATGGGAAAGGGAGGGGTGGGAGGGCCCTTAGACCATTGTATGCTCTAGCCAAGTAGTTACCACAGCTCTGAGGTTATTTTTATACACAATGATACTGTTGAGGTTTGCTTGATTTTGTGTTTGTTTGGTTTCTTTAATCTCATGTCTATGACACTTTACTGTAAACTATCTTACTAAGTGTTCAGAAGTCTTTTCAGGTATTACTCTGGCCTCATCTGGCCATGAAGTAACTTAATGTTTGCAGGCTGGCTTGCTTAATACCAGGCAGTACAAAGATGTGAGTGGTTTGTGAATGGAAACCAAACCTTCAGCCCTTCTCCCACAGGGACTCCAATGAGTTACTGGCTTTGGGGTAACCACCGCAATCCATTCCTAGCTTGCATGTGAAACCTTGAGTTCAGAAAATGAGCTGCACTACAGATTTTTAAATGCTGGAGCATGTATCTCAGACATCCTCTGAAGTGGGAATTTAACAGAAATGTGAAGAGTGTGTGTGTGTGTGTGTGTATATACACATACAGACAAAGGGGAGAAAACAAAGGACTACTGCTGGAGGCTTTTAGCTCTGATGTTAGTTATGGGCATCCTCTTATTACCAATTTTTGCTTGGGAAGGGGAAGGTTAAAATTCAGTGCTGTATCATCACTGCAAGGTCAAATAGGCAGTATATCAAAAGCCAACACAGTAAAAACTGGCAAGTAACTGGAATTGGACTTGAACCAAAGCCACGGAAATGAGCCCTCAAGTTTGGTAGGTCAAGCTCCTTGCTTGAATAGGAGCATTTAGTTTATTTACTTACTTGTCCTTTAAGCTTGACACTGCTCCCTGAAATCTGAAAATCCCTTTATCTGAAAGTCCTTTGATAAACTCTCCCTGTACAAAAAAGCAGTGATAATCCAGTGCTCCCACAAACCTCTATCCTAAATAGGTATTTCACTTTTTCTGTGGTGCTAGTTAAATGTATTTAGTACTAGTTTGGTCTCCTCAACTGCTTACAAAGCCTGCTTTCTTCTCTGAAAGCATCCCATGTCATGGCATGTGAGTACCTTCTGGATGCCTGTGAGGAAGCAGGATGTAATCAGGCAGGGCCCTCCCACAGCTACGAGGTAGCTCTTCGAGCACTGGCACTCTGGTCTCCAGCTGCCAGCTTGCAGCTGATGGGACAATAGCCCCTAGATGAGAAAAGCTTGCACAGCCCTCAGAGCTTCTTTGGCTGCTGCCAGCTGGCTCTTGCTACCACTTGCCAGTAAATTTGGGAGCTTGCACAATACAAATAAAAAGCAAAATCAACCTGGAAAGTAAACAAAATTAAGGAGGAGAGGCAAAACACTCTTCTCCCATAGACCTTCCAAGGTACCTTGCAAAAACACCTGAGCTGAGAGCCAATAACCTACTTTGAAGTAGGGTGTGTAACACAGCTGAGACAGAAGTTGTGGTATTAGCCGGCATTACTCTTTTCACATATCTGCATGGTAGACTTTATTTGCTAAAACATATTCTGTTTGTTATTGTTGAAGAGTGAAAAAAAAAAAGTTAAGATGGTATCTTCAGTACCTTTCCAAAGCAAAGAAGGAGGGCCCATAGGAAATGAAACACCTGTGCAACCCAGGTGTATCACATTTCTCCCTCCTCTTCCCATGTCACAGCTCTACCAGGGTTCATGGGATTTGTTTTCTTTGCTATTCAGATCTGGAGAACTATTTTGGTTTTGATTTCCCTATTGCTGTATCTTCTATGCAATTCCTTTTCTAAAGACTGACTTACTACAGGAGAAGTGCTAGCCATTGCATTATTTGTATTGCTGTACAGTGGAGGTGTGGTTTACTAGTTCTGAGTGTGCCTCTTACCCCCCTCCCTTTTTCTCCTTCCCTCTGTTTGTAAATGCCTGCATTTATTCTGTCAGCCTGACATGTACAAAGTGTAAGAAAGAATTTTTAAACAGGTAATAAATTATATTTATAAGCAACTGGAAAAAAAATGCACCACTACCTTGTGTTCAATTGTTTAGTTCCTGGAAGCTTGGATGGAAAGTGGAGTCTTTTATTTAGTTTCTTTAAAAAAAAAAAAATCTCCTCAAAAGAAATGTTACTGCACATAAGAACTCCTTCTGATGCACTCTCCTTCAGAAGATATCCTTCATGAAATCCACATGCCTGTGCAGGCTGTTTCACTGCACTTCATAAATCCTCATGCTTCCTCATGCTGTTTTACCTCAGCTGCTAGAGGGGAGCTCATCCTGGACAGTTTTCCTGGGGTTTGCATTTCGTGGCCAAAGGTGGAGAAAAGCAACAGGTAAGAAAACGCATCCTTTGCCTAAGAAGTAAAATAAATGCCACTTGGACAAGGTTATTTTGTCCAGCAATACCTGCTTATGTCATTTACCTTGAGCCAGGTGGATACAATGCCCAAACAGCGATGTTCACTCTTCTTGCACCCGCTCCCCATTGTCAGAGATGGTAGTTGTTTCTCCCTGGCCTTGTTAGACCTATTGGGGTCAGTATAAAATTTCTGGGAGTGCAAGAGGCAATTCCCCAGCACAGCTGCATGCTGCTTCTCTCAGCTAGGGTGTGGGGTGACAGTGGGGAAACGGGCATCTCTTACCACCAGTCCCTTACCTGCAGGTCAGCCCCAGGCTGAGGAGCCCACCCTGCCCATTATGGAGGTGATACAGGAGCCTGGGCACTGCCAGAGGCAGCATTATCCCATCCCATCTTGTCCCACCCCATCCCCTGGGGGTGCAGGGTTGCCTGCTGACCCTCGGAGTGTTGCCATGCTGAGCAACACTCAGCCCTTGTCCCCTCACACGCCAGCCTCACAGTGCGCCAGAGAAATGTGCTCACTCGGTAGCTCTCCCTGCAAGCAGCAAGCCAAGGTTAAGTCCAAGCTGAAGCACTCCAATAGCATATGAAGCCAAACAGCACGCAGCCCAAAAGCCAAGAACTTGCAGACAAATGCATTTGCCAGGTTTGTGAGACCCTGCAGCCCAGCTGGAAAAGCGCAGACCTTTAAAAACCCATCCCTGGCATGCCTGGATTACAGCAAGCTATTCCCGAGGTGTAAGGTAGTTTTATTCTGTATTCCTCCTGTTGCAATGTTTAACGTGAGCTATGTGGCAGGCAGAAGACAACTGCTCAGGCTGTTCTCCCTGAGCACAGGACAGCTAATGCTTCTTAACAAAGTGTATCACTAACACAAGGCTCCTCCATCTCCCATGCAATCTCTGCCTCCTGGCTCCTGTAACTTATTGGCTCTCAACAGGCAGCAATTCTTCACAGGACGACATGCAGCCTCACGGTACCAGCTCATGCAGTTGTCCCTTGCAGCTACTGGGGACAGAGCTGGGGACTGGCAGGTCACCGAGCCAAGACCTGACACCATATGAAATACTGCACATTGCTCATTGTACATCGAGCATGGCACAGAGCTGTGACCAAGCACCAGTGACAGGTTTACTCCATCCAAAAGCCACCAGGCCTTTGGGAACATGGAGGGAAAATGATTTGGTTTTTTATTATTATTTTATGATTATTTTCTCTGTTGTAGGAATAGTTAGATTATATATGAAGCTTGAAGCTATGATGTGAGGGGAGGATCTGTATCCCAAGGGACAAAAGACACAACTTTGGCTACAACGTGGTCCAGCAGCTAAAGAGAGCTGAGCTGCAGACAGGGCTGGTTTCTGCAAAACTGTGCCCATGTTGGACAGTTGCTGCTTTTAGATTTCTTGGTGTCTGTCTGTCTTTCCCTTTACATACTCAGCCTTCACAGGAGACAAGTTCTTCTTTGTCCATCCCACCATTCCCACCCTGTCCATGTGTACTGCCGAATTTCCTTTGGTTTCTGACACCCCTAAGGATTGGTGTCTCCCATAGCGTGCAGTCTTTGCATTGCCCCAGCAGTTCCCTCCTCATTTTCAGGGACTTATCCTTCAGGTACCTGACAAGTAGCTGTTCTTCTTGAGACTCCTGGAAGAGTCTGCTCTGGTGTTGCTACCTTTGAAGGTGGGACTGCAACTCTCCTTCCCAGGAGAGGCACGGTTCAGTGTGTTTGACAAGGAAGCAGAGCTCCAATTTTGGCAGGGGACAGTAGCATGACTGCCAACCTTGAATGGAAGGGAAATAGTCCCAACATTGCTTGCAGTTGCAGACGATACACTAGTAGCTACCTAAGTCCAAGGCTAAATAGCACCTAGCAAGGTGGAGAAGAAAGAAAATGACAACAGAGCCTAAGACTGCCCCAAAAAGCCATACTTAGAAAGTTAGGCCAGGACAAAGCAAGCAGGATGGGAGGAAGAAAGCAGCTGCAGAAACACTGATCTCAGCAGCATGTTGGAGAAGGGGCAGCCCAAACAGGCTGTGCTGGAGCAACACATCGCCTTCAGCACCATGCAGCCAAAGCAAGCAGAAACAGACCTCAAAATATGGGATACAGTAACATGCCAGGGACAACTGCAGCAAGCACAGGGCTTTCCCCACCTGGATTTGGCCAGGTCAAGGGAATGCAGAAATGTTGCTGAAGAATAATTGCAATGCTCTGCCACTGATCACAGATGGTGTGGGGCAAAGCAGGAGGGCTGCAGGGGCTGCATGAAGGTGGCAACTAAGGGCCAATTGCTGTTTACATACTTCTCTGAAAATAACCAGCAAGGCAATTAAACTAAGAAACACTGAGCTGAATCTGCAACACAGCACCGCAGAATGAGAAGATGCTCCAGCTGTAAGTACGACTACATACAAATATCTCCCTACATGTAGTGGTATACATGATCCAATGTCTCTCAGTATTAAGCAATGCCATGTTTCGGCTGATGCTGTGTATGTAGGTTGGAACTTTCTCACCTGAAGCATGGAGCTGAGAATTCTATCTTCAGCCTGTGCACAAATGACCTCCTGTGCTTGTGCTATTAAAAATAGTAGTCAAAATTCATAAATATGTGGCAGAATGAAGGGGGATCTCAATAAAATATTATGCAAATGCCAAATTTCTATAGATTTACATAATCAGCCTCAAAATGCGAGTGACTGCTCTATTAGTGATAACACTATTTTAATTACTATTTTTCTCTTCAGTGAGTTGTGAAAGGAGTGATGCTTTTTTATGCCAGTGGAAACATATGCAACTTATTGCTGTTTACTTGTTTGCTCAGAGGAAAAATCTTATAAAAATAAAATAAATAAAATGAAGCACAGTCAAAATAATTTAGCCAGGGATATGAAACCCAAAGATAGTGCTTTTCAAGCACATGAAAAGGAAATAGAAGTAAAAGCAATCTCTGTCATGGGGAGATGGAAACAATTTTATTTGGGGGGAATGTTAAAACAACCATATACAATTTGAACAAATACAACGTAACACAGTTTGTTCCCCAAGTTTTCTAATTACAGTATTTACAGGTTTAATAAGGCACTGGTTCTCAAAAAAGAACACATATTAGTTTCTTAGTCTTTACATTGTCAACCTTTTCTTTAATAGAAATAACTTTGTGCTAGAGAAAGGATAGCAGTTGCTAGATGGCATCTCTCTTCCTTTTTTTAATTTCTTCTCCCACTTACCTATGCCATCTTACCTATGCCAGTCAGAAACTAAACTAAACTTCCTTCAGTGATTTACATTTGAAAAGTGGATTTCTAGACCTGTGGGCACTGAAGTCACAATTATCTTCACCACTGACTTCCAAGCCCTCACCAATGCGCACTGTGAAACCACCCAAATCTGGAATTGACATTAAAAGGCCACACCTGGCAAAATAAACATATAACCTGTAGTCTCTGTACATGCTGAAAGCATAATAATGACACATTGAGTGTTACAGAAAGTCAGCCATGCAGGCCGTAACTCGAATGTCACAGTGCTAGAACAAACAACCTCCACACTTGCCTTAGGCTGTTTCCTGGCCTTAGAAATAGCCCTTTACAATACCATCTATTACAGTGGGTAGGAGATTTGAGGGCAAAATCTGGCCTTTTGAGTCTTGATAGAAAATAGGCAGGCACTAGTTATACAACTGCAGACTGTTTGCTTTCTCAGTGTGTGTCTCCTCATATATATATATATATATATATATATTTATTTTCCTATATAGCACTGTTGTAGTGATTTGTCATTTATGCATTTTCATAAATAAATATTATGCTTTATTTAGTGCTTTATGATCCATAATAGTTTACTCTTAATCCACAATACTGGAGCTATTCCAGACTTGCAACTGAATATATATATATATTTTTACATATATATATATATATAAAACACATAAACTTGGAACATTTAACATACACACTTTATGTAACCTATCAACCAGTATCTTAGATCCTTTTCTCTTGGACCAAAAAAAAAAAGCAAAAATTGCTCAGAAAACCAGCGACTGGCCCTTTCTCTTGCAACACACTGAGGGCAGGTGCCGGGGCATGGGCATGCCTCATGTCTGCCAGCGGGCAAAGCACCCTCCGAAACATTTCTCAGGAGAGCCATGATAATTATAAAAAAAAAAAAAATCTGTTTCAGGAAGGTAGAGGTGAAACACACCTAAACACAGGAGGTAATAGGCATCCCTGCTGTGTGACTGCTTACCTGGGACCTGCAGGGACCAGGCTCAGCGATCGACTGAGCCTAGTCCCAGCTGCTGCCAAAGTCAGCAGTCCCATCCGCTTCTTCCGAGCTGAGAAACCTTGGTTATACAGAGCTGTGCTGGCGTTTATGAAAAGGAGTGAAACTAGAAACCCCATGGCTCCATTTGCTAAGACAAAAAAAGGTGAAGAGAGGCTGGGCTGTCCTCATTTTGGACCACAAATCTCGAAGCCAAGGCAGCCAAGGAGTGGAGCAAACTCTACTCTCAGCTTCAGAAGCATGCTATTTTTTAAGGACAGGAAAACCATCATCACCTCTCTTGGGGTCAGGATTTGGTGTACTATTTAACTCTCAGAGATTTTCTTTTTGTATTGCATTGCTTGGCAGTTTTACGCAGGGAAACTGCACTGCAGAAGAAGCGCTCTAATTAACAAAAATCCTCTGATTAAGCCTTTTGACACCTATAATCATGGAGGTCTTGCTGGTTTTCTTGAACCTGCGCATTTTCTCTGTTAGCTTGAAAGTATAAAATGTTAATTTTTCCAGCTAGAAATACCTTTAGGGAGCTGTGAAACTAAACCCCAATTATATACCTACCTACCACAAATAAATCAGTTTTGTCCAAAAAGGGAAAAAAAAGAAGCATTACAGAAGTGCTGAGGCTAAATCCAGCATGGCAATTATTTCAGTTCTGAAATAGGCTTAGCATAATCAAAGCAGCATTTGTAAGGACTTATTTCAATATTAAGCTGAACACCATCTAGTGAAACAGGACATAGGTGGGCAAGAAAATTTTAAAAAATAAAATAAGGGTAAAAAAGGGTAAACCAGTAACTCCCACATAGCTCAGCTTTAATAATCTGATGAAGAACAGAACCTTTCCAAAGAAAACACTTCACAGGGAATATTTCACCTCTCATTTCCCCTTGTGTAGTATTAGCATTGCAGCAACTGCTGCAACCTCAGGAAGGAGGAACAAGGAAAGGCAGTAATTACATTTCCCATTGCTCTTCTCCCCTAAAAGCTTCTCTTGCTTCCTCTTGGGAACTACGATGTTACGCAGCCCCAGCTTGGCAGCCAAGCCTGTCACTACTGCACGGTGGCTGCCAGAGGTATGGAGGCTGCTGGAAGGCCACCCAAAATAGTAATGCAGAT